TCAATAATAATAAAGAATATGTATTCTTGCTTGATAAAGTTAAATGAGCTCGACAATTATGAAAAATCTAGTTTGTTTAACTATTGCAACTTGCTGTTTCTCTTAGTTGCAGTACTCAAACAATTCAGTTATTTTACCTCTGTAGATTATTGCCATCAAGGACATCATCCGCCCTCCCCTAAGGGAAAACTTCAATGATGTATATATTGTTTATGAACTGATGGATACCGACCTTCAGCAGATAATTCGTTCTAATCAGCAATTGACAGATGATCATTGCCAGGTTCCCTGCTTCTCTTTTTCTAGCTATTTTTGGTCATTAAAATATGATTTTGACTTGTATTTATGATTTTTTTTTTTGACTTGGGACAACATTAAGTACTTTCATATTTCATACATCTATCTATCTTGTAGATTCTGCCTTGTAGAAACTCTAAAATTTTCCTTAGTGTAATGCCTGGATGAATTTACTTCTAATTGTGAATTAGTTAGATGCATTTAGTTCAATTATTATTTTTTGCTTAATTACAATCATCTCATAACATAATATGGAGATTTTCAAAATTATAAGCTTGGTTCATAGCTGAACAAACTTCAGTACTCTTTGTGTAACTAATTCTGTTGCTTCCGAATTTCTAAAGATGTCAGAATTTTTCTTGCATTGTTAGTATACACACTAAATGTAAATGGCAAAATCTGATCAGTTTGGCCTTATCTGTTTTACCATTGCTTGCAGTGTGACAAAAGAGTTTCTTAATGAATATAAATCTTCTGAGACAGCTTTTTGGCTTGCAGTATTTTCTTTATCAGATTTTACGAGGATTAAAATATGTTCATTCTGCACATGTTTTACACCGTGACCTCAAGCCAAGCAATTTGCTCCTAAATGCGAACTGTGATCTTAAGATAGGAGATTTTGGCCTTGCCAGGACGACATCAGAAACCGATTTCATGACGGAGTATGTTGTTACTCGTTGGTATCGAGCACCTGAACTTCTACTAAATTGTTCAGAGTATACTGCTGCTATTGATATTTGGTCAGTGGGGTGCATACTTGGTGAGATTGTAACTCGAGAACCTCTATTTCCAGGCAGAGACTATGTTCATCAATTAAGGTTGATCACAGAGGTATGATTTTGGTAATTGCTTTCAGCCATGATGTTTA